TGAATTAGCTCTTACACGATGCTTCGGTAATTGCGCTACTTGGGAATTATGATTTAACGATATGTTTTATTTCTTATAATATAATTATGTACTAATCGTACAATTAAAATAATCATATTTTAGACGTCCTTGTTCGTGCGACTTGTTTTAGATTTATAAACCATTTTTGTCTTTCAAACACAAACAGGCATTAATACGAATTCTGATTGATTATACAAAACCAGACTTTTTTTTATTAATGTATTAAAGACTGAACAATTTAGCTTAGTCGACCATTGTCTTGAGAAAAAAGAATGCCTGTTCCAATTGTACTCTTTTTATCTTTAAAGTTACTGCAATTACCTAACAACGTAAAGATCATCAGGTGGGCTTCATTGACAGGAATTACTTCCAATTAATTGACACAATAAATATATCTATTTAATCACAAATGTCATTTCATATTAACAAAGCCCGTTGCAATTACCATCTAGTATAGAACCTTAATGATACAACAAGCCAACAGTGATTCAATCACAAAATAAATAGATAACGTATATTAATTAATTTCACATTTATCATTTTGAAAAGCATCAAGTCACCAAACTACTCATCTTTTATTTAGCGTTTTGAAATACTAAGAGTGTCGACCAAGTACACATTCAGGCCCCTGGACCGCCGTGGAAAAGTGTTATGCTCCCAGTTATGCAGATGTCATTGTGGCAGAGTAGGGAGTTCTTCCTCTAAAACCGAATCTGTCTAGCCTGGAAATTCACATTCTATCAATTGTGGACCCTTAACAACATTTTAATCAAGGAACTGGACATTGAATCTAATATCGATATTGAAATTAGTTGCTTGCAAATGGGCATTGGTTCGCGTATATCTGTGCATTTCGTTTCTTCGATTCGTTGTGAAATTTCCGGTAATTCTAAATTTTACAGAAGAATAAAAAACAAATAGGATAAAAATGAATCATCGAATCATTGCCCTATTTCTCTGCTGTACTCGCAGGCTGAAAGACACCGCCTAAACGGCCCTGGGTGCACGGTTATGCTAAGTTCCCACTGTCGTGCGATGCGCTACGATAGGATCAACACGATTGCTATGACTGACCACAATATAATATGTAACAGGCATTGCCTGAGTAGAGCGAAGCTGATTATTGTTAAATATAAAACCTTCATTCATAATTAATTTTCTCAAGTGATACAAAAAATATTAAATAATTTTGTTTTTATTGAGATCTAAATTTTATACATTAATTTTGTTTTTAAAAAAAAGAACAAAAAAGTGTGAGAATTATTTTCATTGACGTAAAAAATATGTGACGTCATTGATTAGACGCGTCATAGAAATAGTTCTATGAGGCGCGTAATCTCGCTTGGGCGAGATTTGGTGGATAGAATTATTTTTGTTAGTTATGTGATCTCGCTTGGACGAGATTTGGTAAGTTGACATGCGCATCAACAGTCTGTGGGTGACATTTTCAATTACGCTCCTGTGTTACCGGAAAAGAGCTTCGCTCTATAAGACCTGACAGGATCACCACGATTACTCCACGAATCCAATTGTAGCACGAATCGTGATAGTGGGGAAACTAGTACAATCTACACTTTATGAGTGTTGTTGAGATGACCCCCACCCCCCATTTCAACCCAATATAAAAAGTACCTAATATTTGAATGTGTGGGCGGGCTACTTCCTTTCAAAATTAAGCTGGCAGTTCGCAAGAAGGTTACTACATCCCAATTACTAAAACTGTGTGTTTAAAGATACATTGTGGAAGATTAGATAAAGAGCTAGTATAGTTAAAAACTAGATGATGTAAATGAAATGAAATGGGGTTTAACGTCCTACTATTCTGCTCCTAATCTGGGCTAATGAAGACGGGCTTACGCCATACAGTGTGCTATGAGGGAAATTTTGCCCGGGCAGCGGCGCTACGGCCTACTCTTATATCGAATTCCAACTGCCAAGGGATCTTTTACGTACACGCCAATGTATACAAGGGACCTCGGTTTTTCGTCCCATCCGAACGACTAGACAGCTGTCCTTGTCAGGCCTTCCGTCCTGCATCACTGAAAAGGGGGAACCACGCCTAAAAATTTGGATGAACTTTCTCGGCCAATGCAGACATCGAACACCCGACCTCCAGGCTAGCGAGCCAGCATGATGTAGTAAAGGGATTATGCTGCAAATTTCAGTCACATTACTTTACTGTAAGCCGAGAAAACCCTATTTTAAAATCACTGTAGCCTTGATGGTCGCGAAAATTAATAAATTATTGATTTTCCATTTTTGCGTTTAATCATCAACGCACGCTGAACAGCAGATCGGATTTTTTTTTTTTTTTTTTTTTTTGGGGGGGGGGGGGTCCAAATGTCCTATTCGAATTATGGAATTACATGATACTGCAAATCATTCTTGGGTAAACTTCGAGTTATTCGAATTGCTGCTACTTGGAGGGCACATGGTACGTTCTGTGAATAACCACACGTACTTCCAAAACCACACGTACTGCCAGCACTGCAGTGTGTTAAATCTACCCCCTGTTCTGCTCCGCCTCAACACCGGAACGAAAAGAGTATTCCGAACACTTGGGTATATTGCTGATCATCCCAATCGGAATCTAGAGCTATATTATTAACACAACGTAAGTGGAAAACTAGTCACAGCAAATTAGCATTGGAACCTAAGTATGTGAATGACCCCATCTTTCTCAATTTTTGTTTAAACTTTGTGTTACCGATATCTCGTCTAATGATTTGGATGCAGTTATGGGGGGTGTGACGCCAGTCAGGCTAAGCTTACTCTTCTCGACACCTGTTACCACTGTCGTGTATTTAGTACACGGTGAACAGTCCATTTGCTGATTACACTATTTTGCCTTTTGTCTTTTTAGGACCTCGAATTGTGTCTAAAGGTTTGGATTGTTCGTACTTAACTGATTTTATTTTATTCTTTGGTACGACAGTATGAAGATATGTATTTTACTCAGCAAGCATTTGCGTTCATATTTATTTATAAATTTATGTTTAACCCCCACTAATATTTGTTTTCAAACAAACAGTTCATTTAAGGTAACACAGCCTACAAACAATAAATCTGAAAGATAATACTGTAAGTAATATCAAATGTTCAAATTTAGTTACAAGTTATTTTCTATTTGATGATTCATGGGTTTAACAAACGTAAGTAAGACGTATCTCAACAAAATTGAAACTGATATGAAATTTTAAATATAATATACTATTCAAAAAAAGTAGGGGATATTTGATTTTTAAGTGTTATTAAAGTCACCTAATGAAACTGACGAAGAAACAAATGACAAAATGAAATGAAGTTCACATTCATCGATTTATTCCAAATGATCATTAGACTAAGTAAGGCACAGACTGACCAGTATAAGGGTAAAATGATACCCGGGGTCAAACAGCAAAGTTACCACAGCATCACAACCAAGTCAGTAACGGGTAAATCCTCCTCTGTTTGCCAAACAAGCATTGATCCGACGTGGCATACTCCTAATGAGACGTCTAAGGTCATTTTGGTCCAGATTGTCCCATTCCTGTTGCAACGCAGCAGCAAGTTCTTGGACATTGGCAGGACGTTGTTGACGTTGACGTAACCTCTGTCCAAGCATGTCCCAGACATGTTCGATGGGGGAGAGGTCGGGACTCAGTGCTGGCCAAGGTAATGTGGTGATGTTCTGTTGTTGGAGGTAACCTGTAACGATCCTGGCCCTGTGACATCTTGCGTTGTCATCCTGGAAGATGAAACGGCGGCCATGACGTCGTGCGAACGGCACAACATGGACTGCCAAGATGTTGTCCCGGTAGTACTGGCCTGTAACACGCCCTGCAACAACATGTAAAGCCGTTCTTCCAGCAACAGTGATGCCTCCCCACACCATAACAGAACCACCCCCAAATCGATCATTTCTGATGACGTTAACGTCTTGGAAGCGCTCGTTTCGACGACGCCACACCCTCCTACGTCTGTCCAAAAAATCAACAGTGAATCTTGACTCATCTGAAAACATCACATTGCTCCAGCGTCGATTATCCCAGTGTTGACGATCCCTACACCAACGACGTCTTGCCTGAATGTGATGATCTCTCAAACAAGGGATCACGCGAGGACGTCGGGCGCGAAGGTGACCCCTATGCAGTCGATTCCGAATCGTCTGGCCACTCACTCTCACACCAGTGTCTGTTTGAAGACGAGCACTGATCTGATTTGCTGTGATGACATGATTTCTCAAGGCCAAGGTACGGATAAATCGATCCTGGGCTTGAGTTGTCGCCCTTGGTCGACCTGAGCGTGGTCTGTCCTGTACAGATTGTGTATCACGGTATCTGGACCATAGCCTGCTTATGACAGACTGAGAAACATTCATCGTCCGCGCCACAACCGCCTGTGTTGTGCCGATCTGTAGCATGCCAAGGGCACGTAACCTTTCATTTTGGGTAAGCCGACGCATATCAAAATTTGTTTTCTGGTCACTAAAACAATTAAACTGATGTTTCCACCCTGGAATTCAATGCCACAATGACTGTAACATTCAAAGTCAGAGTCGTGCAAATCTTGGGTTGGACCCCCATGATGATCCCAAGCATCACCTGCATTCCATGCGGTAGCTATTGGTGCGTTTGGGCGTCACATGTAACTGGAAATGTTTCTTCTGTTAGGTTCTATAGTGACTTTTTTCGTAGTCATTTGCATATTTTAGTATTATGCCCCCAAAATCAAATATCCCCTACTTTTTTTGAATAGTATATATTCTTATTGTAGACGATATTTACAATTTAAATCTTACTATTACTTTGTTTTCACGCACATTCAATATGTATCGTATCGTAAACAATCCTGTATCGAGATACGTGGCTTATCATATCTATTGATTGACAGCATTTATTTATGTTGATCGAAGTGGCTACTAGCAACGGTTACGAGAGATACACGATGTGATCTGTAAAAGTTCAGTGCTGATTGTTCCAATGCTAGCGGACGTATGAATATTGGCAAGTTGTCAAAAATGAGTTGGGACAGATGCTGTTATTTGTGACACTTTAATGCTGATTGGAAGACGGGTGAACATTGGCAGGTTGTCAAAAATGATTTATGAAGTTTTATATTTGATGACATTTTTTAAAAGTAAGTATGTTTTAAATTTTACCAAGATATCAGAAATGTAAAAATAAATGACAAAAGTTTGATTAAATCCATTCCGCAAGAAGTGGACCGTTCTAAGGCCTTCCATATTGCGCAGATAGCCCGGAAGAGTGTATCAATTGCTACAGCACCGCAGTATTGCAGCTAGGATAAGACGGGTATACTTACGGGTCTTTCGTATTCTCTGTTCCTCTCTTATGGAATTCATTGCCTTACAACATTAGACTCCTTAAATGCATTTAAAGCTCAGCTAAAATCTTCCCTGTATACAGAGGCGTTTTCCATAGAAATGAAATGAAATGAATTGGGGTTTAACGTCCTACTTTTCTGCTCCGAACTGGGCTAATGAAGACGGGCAGACGCCATACAGTGAGCTATGAGGGAAATTTTGCCCGGACAGCGGCACTACGGCCTACTCTTATATCGAATTCCATCTGTCAAGAGATCTTTTACGTGCACGCCTATGTGTACACGGGACCTCGGTTGTTCGTCCCATCCTAATTTGATTATATGCTCTAATCAATGGTGATGTCACTAGCATCTCTGATCAATTAAAACAACCCAGACAACGTATAGCCGCTCGGGTGGGGATAAAAACTGAGGACCCGTGTACACACTAGCGTACAAGTAAAAGAACCATTGGCAGTTGGATTTCGATATAAGAGTAGACCATGTCGTAGCTGTCCCGGTCAAAATTTCTCTCATAGCAGACTGTATGGCGTCTGCCCGTCTTCATTAGCCCAGTCGGAGCAGAATAGTAGGGCGTTAAACCCTATTTCATTGTTTTGTACGATTCGATCTTTCATGACTCGCCATTGTCTTTTGTCTTTGATATTACAAATTTCGGAAATAGTTTTTAACTACAGAGGGGTTGGATGGCTGAATGGTTAGCACGTGCGCTCTGTATTATAAAGTCTGTCATTGAGTCAACTGGCGGGGTTTCGATTCCCCGGTTGTACGTGACAAGGCGTAGGGTCGCCTGTCCAACCTCGTGGGTTTTCTCCGAGTCCTCCGGTTTCTTCCCACTGCTAAAGACCCCTACGCGCAAGCGAATTATGGAAAATAAAATTGAACCATATGTTAGTCCCGAAATGACCTAGTGTGTGTCGAGTGGACGTTAAACCCCATTTCTCTCTCTCTCTTTTTAACTACAACCTACTGGGCCGGGTTTAGATGTAGCGAGGTCATATGCTATAAGACTCCCTCCCAATCCACCATCCTTACACATGTGGGTGCACATTGGGAGGTATCATGAACCCCAGTCATAATTTCAAAGATAATTGAATTAAAAGGCAGCTGTTTGGTTTTTATTTGCATTCATATTTGACATCTGAAAAACACCTTAATTATTATCCAAAAACATTTTACTGACATATGAAAAAGATTTAATAATTCTCACAAAATTGTTACTATGTGTACTATGCGATAAAGAGGTTAAATGGCAATCCACGTTTGATACAAAAAAAACATTGAATATTTGGAATTCATCATTTAATTGTTGGTATTTGTAACATGCAGATGCTAAAAGAGAGGATATTCTGGCATAAGCTAAACGGTATCAGGCAGCAAACACATTAGCAAAATCCCTACTGTGAGTTATCAAGCGTTGGGCCTGATTTGCATATAACATAACTCTGCATATGGGAAGCAGATGAATACCGATCTCTTCACTACGTCTAAAAATGTATAGTGGACAAAGTCACTAAATATCAGAAAGCAGTGCCCAGTAGTTATTACAAAAGACTATAAAACATATGCATGGGGTCCACGGAGAACCGACAAGGGTTATTATAAATGTCCAATATATTATACACCTTAGCAGGAGGCCTTGTATATCGTGCTAGGCTTCAGCCCACCAAGTCTTAGGTAAGTCTGACACTGGCCACCCAAGACCACCAGAGCGCTAAAATGACTCAGTTGGTAATATCATTCCTACAACCTTTTATAATATACTATTCAAAAAAAGTAGGGGATATTTGATTTTTAAGTGTTATTAAAGTCACCTAATGAAACTGACGAAGAAACAAATGACAAAATGAAATGAAGTTCACATTCATCGATTTATTCCAAATGATCGTTAGACTAAGTAAGGCACAGACTGACCATTATAAGGGTAAAATGATACCCGGGGTCAAACAGCAAAGTTACCACAGCATCACAACCAAGTCAGTAACGGGTAAATCCTCCTCTGTTTGCCAAAAAAGCATTGATCCGACGTGGCATACTCCTAATGAGACGTCTAAGGTCATTTTGGTCCAGATTGTCCCATTCCTGTTGCAACGCAGCAGCAAGTTCTTGGACATTGGCAGGACGTTGTTGACGTTGACGTAACCTCTGTCCAAGCATGTCCCAGACATGCTCGATGGGGGAGAGGTCGGGACTCAGTGCTGGCCAAGGTAATGTGGTGATGTTCTGTTGTTGGAGGTAACCTGTAACGATCCTGGCCCTGTGACATCTTGCGTTGTCATCCTGGAAGATGAAACGGCGGCCATGACGTCGTGCGAACGGCACAACATGGACTGCCAAGATGTTGTCCCGGTAGTACTGGCCTGTAACACGCCCTGCAACAACATGTAAAGCCGTTCTTCCAGCAACAGTGATGCCTCCCCACACCATAACAGAACCACCCCCAAATCGATCATGTCTGATGACGTTAACGTCTTGGAAGCGCTCGTTTCGACGACGCCACACCCTCCTACGTCTGTCCAAAAAATCAACAGTGAACCTTGACTCATCAGAAAACATCACATTGCTCCAGCGTCGATTATCCCAGTGTTGACGATCCCTACACCAACGACGTCTTGCCTGAATGTGATGATCTCTCAAACAAGGGATCACGCGAGGAAGGTGACCCCTATGCAGTCGATTCCGAATCGTCTGGCCACTCACTCTCACACCAGTGTCTGTTTGAAGACGAGCGCTGATCTTATTTGCTGTGATGACACGATTTCTCAAGGCCAAGGTACGGATAAATCGATCCTGGGCTTGAGTTGTCGCCCTTGGTCGACCTGAGCGTGATCTGTCCTGTACAGATTGTGTATCACGGTATCTGGACCATAGCCTGCTTATGACAGACTGAGAAACATTCATCGTCCGCGCCACAACCGCCTGTGTTGTGCCGATCTGTAGCATGCCAAGGGCACGTAACCTTTCATTTTGGGTAAGCCGACGCATATCAAAATTTGTTTTCTGGTCACTAAAACAATTAAACTGATGTTTCCACCCTGGAATTCAATGCCACAATGACTGTAACATTCAAAGTCAGAGTCGTGCAAATCTTGGGTTGGACCCCCATGATGATCCCAAGCATCACCTGCATTCCATGCGGTAGTTATTGGTGCGTTTGGGCGTCACATGTAACTGGAAATGTTTCTTCTGTTAGGTTCTATAGTGACTTTTTTCGTAGTCATTTGCATATTTTAGTATTATGCCCCCAAAATCAAATATCCCCTACTTTTTTTGAATAGTATATATTTAATTTTTATACGCCCACATTTTCATTTGGACGTATATTGTCGTCGCCCCTGTCCGTCCGGACGTCCGTATGTCTAGACGTCCGGACGTCCGTCCGTCCACAATTGTTTGTGGACTCTCTACAGGTCACAATTCTTATCCAATTTTGACGAAACTTGAAATATAGGTTTATCCCCAAAAGATCTCGACTGCTTTCGATATTGGCATGTATCGGATCGAAACTTTATGGATTATGGCCCCTGTTTGTACGAAAAATCACGTGTTTAACTTGTGGACCCTATAGAGGTCACAATTTTTATCCGAATTTGTTGAAACTTGAAATGTAAGTTTATAACCCACAGATCTCGGTTCCGTTCGATATTCGCGCATATTGGACCGTAACTTCCTGAATTATGGCCCTTGATTGTACGAAATATCACGTTTTTAGCTTGTGGACCCTATAGAAGTCATAATTTTTATCCGATTTAAAAAACCGTATTATTATATCACCGTTACACCCTAAAGACGGCTGAGTTTGAATTTCGTGAAACTCAGCCCAAAACTGACAGACAAAATGGCCGCCCTTCGTTCTCAAATAGCGTAAAAATATGGTATATCAAGGTTGTGGACCCTATAGAGGTCACAATTTTTATCCGATTTTGTTGAAACTTAAAATGTAAGTTTATAACCCAAAGATCTCGGTTCCTTTCGATATTCACGCATATCGGACCGTAACTTCCTGAATTATGGCCCCTGATTGTACGAAAAATCACGTTTTTAGCTTGTGGACCCTATAGAGGTCATAATTTTTATCCGATTTAAAAAAAAACGTATTATTATATCACCGTTACACCCTAAAGACGGCTGAGTTCGAATTTCGTGAAAATCGGCCCAAAACTGACAGACAAAATGGCCGCCCTTCGTTCTCAAATAGCGTAAAAATATGGTATATCAAGGTTGTGGACCCTATAGAGGTCACAATTTTTATCCGATTTTGTTGAAACTTAAAATGTAAGTTTATAACCCAAAGATCTCGGTTCCTGTCGATATTCACGCATATTGGACCGTAATTTCCTGAATTATGGCCATTGATTGTAGGAAAAATCACTTTCTTTTTAGCTTGTTCTCTATCCATCTCTCGAAAATGTGGGCGTATCCTGCCTGGCAGCCGCTGGTATCTCTAGGTTTTCACCTGTGTTAGGGTAGAATTACCCGCCGTGTATGAGACCCTAGGCTTTAGTCCGTCGAACCTTAGGTAAATCTGACACTGACCACCCAAGACCACCAGAGCGCTAAAATGCCTCTCTTGGTAATATCATCCCTACAACCTTTTATAATATGTTTAATTTTATCTCTAGGTGTCACCTGTGTTAGAGTAGAATTACCCGCCGTGTATGACTACCAGCTGTCATGGGACGTAACAAACAGAACAGATTTTAAATTCAACGTTAAAGCCGAGATGGAAGCAAGGTTGTCTCTCGATACAGACAGACCAAGTAACAGTGATCCGGAAATAATAATCGGCGGAATGGGAAATACCAGAACAGAAGTCTTTGATTGCCGTACATGTAATACATTATTAAGATATGAAGACAATAATCCCCTATCTAGTGGTACCAAAAAGTATTTTTGGATAAACTTGTCGACAAATAAATTTAGTTGTGGTTTCGGGACATTAACAACGGTTGATCCACTTATTGATTACTCACCCTTTCCTACAACAAATCGGATATGGATAAGTTCATATCCGACCGCTGCAGGTTCATGGGAAATGCGTGAGTATTAATTTGAATGTCAAAAATTTGCTATTTCATTTTTTATACGCCTACATTTTATGGACTTATTTTGTCGTCGCCCCTGTCTGTCTGTGTTTCCGTTCACATTTGTTTGTGGACCCACTACAGGGCACAATAATTTATCCTATTTTGACGGAAATTGAAATATAGGTTTATATCTCAAAGAGCTCGATTCTTTTCTATATTGGCACGTATCGGACCGTAACTTTATGGGTTATATATTCAACAGATCATGGTTGAGTTCGAATTTGCCGTCACAGTTGCCGCTCCCCTTTACGAAAAACATGTAAATACCTATACCAAGGTTGTGAACCCTCTAGAGGTCACAATATTTGTTGGATTTAGATGAAACTCGCCATATATCTGGTTGAGTTGATGCGCATCATAATTGTCGTCGCTCCTGTTCGTTCGTCAAAAAACACTCTACCGGTCACAATTTTTATTCGATTTGACGAAACTTGCAATATAGGTCTATCTCCTCAAAGATCTCGGTTCCAATCGAAATTAGCATGTAGCGGACCATAACTTCAATCGAGTTTGATGAAACTTTAAATTTATATTTATATCACAACGATCTCACTTCATTGTGATCATCGCGCATATCCGAAAATAACTTCCTGGATTATGGCCCCTGGTTTTTCTTAAAATTTTATTATTCGCTTGTGGGCCAGCTAGAAGTCACACTTTGTAATCAAGTTTAAAAACCGTTTAAATATATCAGTGAAGGTTTTGTTCGAATTTCGTAAAAATCTGACCGAAACTGTCCGACAAAATGGCCGCTCCTTGCACGGAAATAGTGTAAAAGTATGAAATACTAAGGGTGTGGACCCTCTTATTTCCTTTCGATATTCGCGTTTAACGATAAAATAGCTTAATAAACAATCTACAGTACATCTTGAAGCGAGAGGGAGAGAAATGGGGTTCAACGTCCATTCGACACAGACTAGGTCATTTCGGGACTAACATGGTTTAATTTTATTTCAATAATTCGCTTGCGCGTAGGGGTTTTTAGCAGTGGGGGGAAACCGGAGGACCCGGAGAAAACCCACGAGGTTGGACAGGCAACCCTACTCCTAGTCCAGGCAAGAAAGCATAAGTGCGGGCAGTTGCTGCAATAGAAATGCCGATATTATTATCACCAAAAAAAGTCACAGTCCGAAATCAGTGCCCAAATGGGTCAAATTGGCCAAAATCCAAAATGGCCGCCGGATTTGACTTGTAAATTCCGATTTCCACCCAATTATCATAATATGATCAAGTTTGATATCAAAATATACGTTTTCGGGGTAACTGAATTCATTTCCATAATCAATATTGGGGATTATTCAACATGGCGGTCAGTTTTGGCGGGAAAATTCGAATTTTACATAGGGATCAAGTTTGGTGTCAAAATATGCGTTTTCGAGGTAGCTGAACCCACTTGTGTACATATTTTAGTGATTAAGTGATTCTCTGTGTCAATATAGGAGAAATTTCAATTAGCGATTTAGATTTCCGATTGAGGATTGGAGTTTAATGATACTCCTACCTTAGACCTAATACAATGGCATGCAATCAGTATCACCTAATTTTCATTTGGAATGTCTATTTATCTCAACGACCAGTGTCTGAAATGCTGCCAGGCTGCATTTTCGGCAGTCTATGTCACAAAATATCGTGGCGAAAATATTCATTCACTTTGAGACACTTTCCTGTCTGGTCGGATAAACTAGTGATTTGGCAACAGGTGGTATCTGGTAGGCTCTATTTATCTCGACGATATTGCCAGACTGCATTTCCGACAGTCTATTTTTCAAAATTTTCGGGGGCTTCGTTGATGTTCGCAAGTCCGTTAATTTGAGGTCTGATAGACTAGTGATCAGGCGACAGGGTGCATCTGATCAGCTCTATTCATCTCTACAATCGGTGCCTGAATACTGTCAGACAGCATTTCCGACAGTCTATTTTTCAAAATTTTCTTCGGGAGGTTCCCAATAACCCCACAATCGCTCACAAGGGGACTTCGTTGAGGTTCGCAAGTCCGTTCGTTTGACATGTTGTTCTCTGGTCGGATAAACTAGTGATCAGACTACGGACGGTATCTGGTCAGATCTATTTATATCGATGATCGGTGCCAGACTGAATACTGTCAGACAGCATTTCCCGCAGTCAATTTTTCAAAAAAAATTTGGGAAAGGTCTACCATTTGGCGCTCGTGATTGGGTTTTGTCGCGGTTCGTAAGTCCATTAGTTTGACACATTACCTCAACCACCAGTGTCTGAAATACTGCCAGGCTGCATTTCCGGTAGCCTGTTTTTCAAAATTGTCTGGAGGAGACCTCCGGCCTACCCCTAGTTGAAGATCGTGCCTTTGCCCCCTTAACCTTGGACTTTGCCCCAGTTTTGTCCCTCCAACCACTGACGGCTGTCGCCGCCACTGTTTCTTAACTGGGCATAGGGGACGGAGTGGAGGTGGCTATATGCACCTTCTTCCGAAAATGTGCCCTCGAATGTTAACAAATTTACGTTAAATAAGGACATACCCATCCAAATGAAAATATTTTGCCACCTTTTTCTGCTGCCCTTTCCTTGTTCCAAACAAATAGCCTTGAGTATGCTAATGACGTTTAATCTGTCACCAGTAACTTCTTTGGCCTGGCTTGAATTGTATCTTGATCGTTTTCTCGTTCTGGGGGTTGTCAGTCTACTTTCAATTCTAGATCCTGCCCCTCCCTCCTAAACTTTGGTCTGCCTACCATCAATCGGAGACCCTAGCACGCCCTTGACTCATTGTCGAACTTAGTAATGACTTTGCACAAAGTTCTACTCGCTCTAAATTCTCTGCCATTGAAATTGGTATCTCCGCTCATTATTGAACTAGTAGGACGTTAAACTCCATTTCATTTCATTTCATTATTGAACTTAGGCCAGGGATCTTAATCGGCTCATTATGGTCGGCCTCCAATACCCGTTATCGTTTCGTCATTTTCGGAATGACGGTGGACAATTCATTATCAAATGGGTCATTGCATATCTGACAAACAGGCGATGCTGTATCATCAGGGTCTCAACATTTGATTCATTTTGTGAAATAAATTCGCCACGTGGTTCAATAGGTTTGACTTTTCGAATCGGACACGCCTACGACGCTGCGTCCACAGCGGGCTAAGAGTGGTCCCTTTCGTCATGCCTGCTACGCTGCTTCCGTAGTGAGCAGAGGTCGGCCAGGCGTCTAATTGGAATTTAGTTGATGCTTGATGAATGCCATAGTATTAGATCTGAGACATATTTTGACCCAGGGGAACCAGTTAATTACCAGGATGAAAAGAAAAAATGTGTCGAAAATGGAATCAGATGCCTCCAAAACGTATATTTTTACACCAAATGTGGTCATTTGGTAAAATTCGAATTTTCCAGCCCAAACTGACTGCCAACTGGAATTATTTCCCAATATTGACTCGGTATAACTAATCATCAAAATATGTATGGAAATGGAATCAGCTACCCCGAAAGGATATATTTTGATACCATACCAAACTCGATCATATTATGATAAGTGGATAAAAATTGTCATTTTCCAGTCAAAACTGACGGCCATTTTGGATTGTTGCCAATTTGACGCATTTGGGCACGGATTTCGAACCGGGACTTTTTGTTGGGTGATAATATACGTATAGACCGACATAAGCCGTGGTCGGCATTTCTATTGCAGCAACTGCCCGGAATGTTGCGAAAATGATTTAAAATGTCTGGCCTATCCTTGTCACGTACAACCGGGGATTCGAAACCACGGCAGTTGACTCAATGACAGGCCTCATGATACAGCGCCATCGCACTAACGATTCGGCCATCCAATCCCCCACATCTTGAAGCACTCGTAACTCCACTTAGAATAAAGTCATTTGAATGAAATTTTCATTATATTATTTTCTTTTTTATAGCAATAACAGTCCACTCTGTAACTGAATCTTACACAATGTATCTTTCAACGCCTCTTTCTTCTGGCTCAGTGAGTGAGGCACTGGTTCAACATCCAGGAGATCAGAGGTTCCCCGGGATTTTAAAGCGCGGGGCCTGACAAAGAACATCGTCTAATTGTACAAGTTGTTGTTCACGCAAAAGAATCCTTGGCATTTGGAATATGATTAAAGATAGGCGGAACCGCCGCGTCCGTGTCTAAATATCACTTACAACACACATTTGATTTATTCTTAATTTCAGCTGATTACTTGACAATGACGATTCCCTCAACTCTGCTACCTAATACAACAGTTCACTGGGATGTAGCTGGTATTACATCAGCTTTATTGTCCATAGAAACTTGTGGAAGTGTTGATCTAATCTTCACCACAGATATAGCTGGTGATTATTATCAAGTTGGTTTGGGTGATTGTGCCAAGACGTGTACAACACTAACTAAATTCATGTCGTCCTCTACTCCAACCACCCTGACAGCCACTGAGAATCCTCTACAATGCTCCAGTTTTGCAGATATATGGATAAGTTGGGAGAGTGGTGCTAGAAAACTAGAAGTTGGAACGGGACACGTTCTGAATCAGAATGCCTTGGTTGCTATGGAGAACCTCGATGATCTGAACACTATTGAAAAGATGGAACCAAGGAGCACAGATACGACACAGTGGAAAATAGGTAGGAACTCTGTTGCGTTTCGTAGCCACAGTGGAGAATGCCGCATGTTCTCCTCGGGTACCCTGTGTTAATACATGTATTGCTGACTCGACAATAGATCCATGTTATTTAAATGATATTTAGAAATTAATACGTACACGCCAACGATTACACTGTGTTCCGTACTAGCAGAACAACTAGACGTCCAGTCAGCTGTCTTCGATCACTGGCAAGAAGAAACCAGACAGGGCTGTCTCAACGAATAGTACTTAAAGAGAAAGCAGGACCTCCGTGGTTGGTGAGCAGGCACAATACTTGGATTATGTACGCCCATTGCTCCATTTAAACCTGGCGATTTCGTGCTAGGGCTGAAACGTGAATAACCTGTTTCAATAGCATTTGGTAATTGAACAGAAATACACGTTTCGACTGGTCTTCTCATCGGTGCTGGATAAAGACTACAGATGCCGAATCTTAACGTCGCTCTAAACAGTTGTCCGTAGATTATATCCTGTGTAGGCAAAAGAAAATTTGGGTGGGGTGGGGTGTTAACTTGATTTCAGATGTATAGGCCTGTAGTAATATTTTAAAGCAAGAATAAGCATTATCCTGACCCCGATTTTTATTGGATGTCGATTAAATTATCTTTAAATTTATTTCGCTTTTCAGATCTATATGGGTGTAAGTTTTTGAGCTGGCAAGAATGGGGTGGTTGGTCAATCTGTGACAGGGATGGTCAGGTCTTACATAGATATCGTGTCTGTCAGTGTGAACATCCTCCATCAGATCCAAACTTTGATCCTCTCCTGTATTGTAATGGCGATTACAGAGAAGAAATTAAAAGTATGATTATTCCTTTGTATTTTAGGGTGTGGGTGCGGGGATTATGGCGACCCAAAAGTGTTCCCCGGGATTTTGGCTGTGTCTACACGCCGGATTCAATATTATTATGGTGTTGAAGGGGATATCGATCTATAAGGAAGTCAACGGTTACCCGTTTTTACCGTTCGATCCATCATAACCTCCACCATGGGGACATAACGGCCAAAGGAGAGCTGTCGTGTCTCGGTGAGTAAGACGTTGGCTCCATAACCTGGAGGTCCTGAGTTCGACCACGGTGTTGGCCGAGAAAGTTCATCGGCAAGGGACAACGCATAGTTGTACTGATGAGTTGAAAAACTATTGATGACCTTTCCGTCAACCACCGCTATTGGTTACTCATTGTCCCTTCGCCTTTTCGGTAAAACTGTATTTTTAACCTTTTGGTTATTTGTTCAAATTTTCTATTCATTTTGTCAAATTATTTTTCAGTTTTTAACATAGTTGTCACCATTCTTGCCGAAAGTAACTCGATTTTGACAAAACTATATTTTCTATCTTTCAAACAAATATTTTGTTTTTAAGCTAGTGTTAATAGTTGCTTTTCTATATATTAACTTCATTCAACAAATACCCCGTGAAAAGATACGGTTTCTTTGGTTCGGGAAATGACGTCAGTTAAATGTTGGAGATTCCCCGGCGAAGCCCACTATAGCTGCATCACGGCTCTAGCAATATCATCATCGTCATCATCATCACCACTCTTATCATTATTATTATTATTATTATTATTCGATAAAAGTTACCATTCTTGTTTTTTTAGGTAACGCTGTCGTGTGCAAGAAATGGAAATATAAGGGTAAACTTTATTCCACAACCATGGATAAATCAGTTACCACCGCAGTCTCACAGGCAGCCTGTATGTTAAATTGTAGAACATCATTCCCCAATTGCTACTATATATCTTACAATAAGTTGGAGAAACTGTGTTGGATGTATATCGGGGGAATACCACATTTTAAGTGGGTATCGAATCAGTTCATTCTCAATGAAAATTTTAAAACGCACGCTTTTTATCAGTAGACGATCATTTATTTATAACACGGCACCAAATGTACAGTTAAAACGCAGCACCAGATGATCAGTTATAACACGGCACCAGATGATCAGTTATAACACCACTTGATCAGTTATAACGCGGCACCAGATGATCAACACGGTACCAGGTGATCGGTTATAACACGACACGCGATAATTAGTTATAACACAGCACAAAATGTTCAGTTAGAATACAATACCAGATGATCAGTTGTAAAACGGCACCAGATGTTATAACACGGTACCAGATGATCGGTTATAACACGACACGAGATAATTTGTTATAACATAGCGCAAAATGTTCAGTTATAATACGGCACCAGATGATCAGTTATAACACGATACCAGATGATCGGTTATAACACGACACGAGATAATTTGTTATAACATAGCGCAAAATGTTCAGTTATAATACGGCACCAGATGATCAGTTATAACACGATACCAGATGATCGGTTATAACACGACACGAGATAATTTGTTATAACACAGCACCAAATGTTCAGTTATAATACGATACCAGATGATCAGTTGTAAAACGGCATCAGATGATCAGTTATTACACGGTACCAGATGACCATTTTAAACACAGCACCAGATGATCAGCTTAAACACATCACCAGATGATCAGTTGTGACACGGCACCAGATTATCAGTTGTAACACGGGACCAGAGGATCAGTTGTAACACGGGACCAGATGATCAGTTGTGGCACGACACCAGATGATCAGTTGTAACACGGTACCAGATGATCGATTATAACACGACACCAGATCGACAGTTATAACACGGCACTAAATGATCAGTTATAACACGACACCAGATCGACAGTTATAACACGACACCGTGACCTTCTGGTTAGTGATCAAGTGCTTTAATCACTTTGGGGGGGGGGGGGTGGATGGCCGAATGGTTAGGACCGCGCGCTGTATCATACGGCGAGGTTTCGATTCCCCGGCTGTACGTGATAAGGAGTAGGTTCGCCTGTCCAACCTCGTGGGTTTTCTCCGGGTCCTCCGGTTTCCTCCCACTGCTAAAGACCCCTACGCGCAAGCGAATTATTGAAATAAAATTAAAACCATATGTTAGTCTCGAAATGACCTAGTGTGTGTCGAGTGGACGTTAAACTCCATTTCTCTCTCTCTCTTTAACTACAAATACTGGGCCGGGTTTAGATGTAGCGAGGTCATATGCTATAAGACTCCCGAAATGACCTAGTTTGTGTCGAGTGGACGTTAAACCCCATCTCTCTCTCTCCCTCCCTTTCTCTCTCTCTCTCTCTCTCTCTCTCTCGCTTTAATCACTAGGCCACCGTGTCTCCAAAATAAAATATATATAGCAGGTAATATATCTAGTAATAAAGATAGCTGATAACTAAAGTAAGTAATGCACATGTCACTGACTCACTTTGGAATAATTATAGGATCCAATTTAGTTTAATTTAACGGATAGACAGACACGTCAGACCTGCAATAAACTTATTTACACATTATAAGAATTGAAGACATTTTAAATTTATTTGTTTTCTTATTCGTTACTTTTTTTGGCCGTTTAACCTAAAAACTACAGTACGGTCCACGAACCTACAAACTTCAGAATTGTTCATGGACACGTTAACTAACCTAAAACGATAAAATACAGTACGGTCCACGAACACGTGAAATGAAATGAAATGAAATGGAGTTTAACGTCCTACTGTTCTGCTCCTAACCTGGGCTAATGAAGACGGGCATACGCCATACAGTGTGCTATGAGGGAAATTTTGCCCGGACAGCGGCACTACGGCCTACTCTTATATCGAATTCCATCTGTCAAGGGATCTTTTACGTGGAACAAATGTCGCGGTGGAAATCATTTATTATTGTTATAGTAAAATTCTGACTTCGGTAATCTAAGTTCTATGTAATACAATATGTAGTGACGATTTTTTTCCAATTTAGAACTTTGATGTTTACGGTTCATGATGTAACGATAATTCTTAGAAACTATATTATTGTTTTCCGGTTTGAGTAAAACTCTGACTTCGTTAATCTAAGTTCTATTTAATACAATACGTATTGCATTATAATATGTAACGATATTAGTCAAATAAATACATGAGAAATGAAATGAAATGGGGTTTAACGTCCTACTGTTCAGCTCCTAACCTGGGCTAATGAAGACGGGCATACGCCATACAGTGTGCTATGCGGGAAATTTTGCCCGGGCAGCGGTGCTACTTAGGGTGACCCACCATAAATAAATATCTCCATATATCTCGACAATTTCGCCACACTATTTATATATATGCCAAGCCTCAAATCAGTTTCACACAATTATAGTCACTAAATAAACGATCATGTTGTACTTAATAAGCTATGACCATTAATCATCTATAAATAATAGACTGAAAACTGGTTCCATGTGTCGTCCATAACATCCAGACACTCTTGAGTAAAAGATAGGTTACGTGCCCTTGTTTTGAAATTAGTCTCGCTTAACCAGTCTATCGACCATTCTAGGGCTGATTGACAGATCGGGATAATCAAGACTACTTTTTTACGAAACATAACAGAAAGCTAGAACAAGAAATTGAATTTAGAAATGAGCACGTTAGCTAGCTAAACAATTGTTTTAAGAAGCTTGTAAAAGTAAAATGAAACTACTGCTTGTATCATGTTCCTGTCTAACCCGAGTGCTTCAGATATATTATTTGTACTAAACCAAAAGATGCCGCTCTTAACGGTACAGTTAATGATAAAGCGATTTAAAAAATGAAACGAACGTAATTTCTAAATCTGCTGTAATAACCAAGAAGCTTAATTTTACTGCTATTCAAAATCGTCAACAATAATTTTTTTACGGCTGTAATAGTTGATAGATTTGTAGAGAATTGCACGTGCCATGGCTATTTATAGTATCATACTGTCAGAAAGTTGGACTCGACACGGCGAATGTGCACGCTTCAGTGGTAGTCTCGAACTATCAGCGGTTGACTGTATTTCTGTAGGTGCATGGGTCACCCTAGCTAAGGCCTACTCTTATATCGAATTCCAACTGCCAAGGGATCTTTTACGTGCACGCCAATATGTACACGGGACCTTGGTTTTTCGTCCCATCCGAACGACTAGACAGCTGTCTTTGTCAGGCCCTCTATCCTGCATCACTGACAAGAGGAAACCACGCCGGAAAATCTGGATGAACTTTCTCGGCCAATGCAGGGATCGAACACCCGACCTCCAGGCTAGCGAGCCATGCGTCCTACCCACTTAGCCACATAAAAATTGCTTTATTGTGATATTTTTGTATATCTCCGGCCCATTTGATGTAAACTTTTAGTGCATATGGCCCCTAAACCGAAATGAGTTTGACACCGCTGAGTTAACCTATCAACTACATTACGGCCCGAACCAAGCATTTTATTTTTTGAGAATTCTCGGAAGGTTTAAATCTGCACATACGCGCTGACCAGACTCGATTCGTTATGTTCTTAATACATTTAGAAAAACACATATTAGATGTATATACATAAAAAATAGATGATATAATATGTCTGGTTGGGGGATTGGATGGCCGAATGGCGCGCTGTATCATACGGTCTGTCATTGAGTCGACTGGCGGGGTTTCGATTCCCCGGTTGTACGTGACAAGGAGTAGGGTCGCCTGTTCAACCTCGTGGGTTTTCTCCGAGTCCCCCGGTTTCCTCCCACTGCTACAGACCCCTACGTGCAAGCGAATTATTGAAATAAAATTAAAAACCATGTGTTAATCCCGAAATGACCTAGTTTGTGTCGAGTGGGCGTTAAACCCCATTTCTCTCTCTCTCTATCTCTCTTTCTCTCTCTCATGTCTGGTTGTTATAATATATTTATAATTATGAAGCGTCTGGTGCCCCTGTCGTTTGTGGAAACAAATGGTTTGTTAAAAGGGCCGTTAGGGTGGGGGTGGCGGTCAACAATAAGTAAAATCTTATGAAGGGACTTTTTTCCGGATGATGTATATTTTTTCACAGCGGCTATACTACGCTGAGAGAGAGCGAGAGAGAGAGAGAGAGAGGGGGGAAATGGGGTTTAACGTCCACTTGACACAAACTAGGTCATTTGTGAAGACACAGAAACACCCACTCATTCATATTATAACATTGGTTTCATCTATGGATACATACACCCCTTAAATCCGCGCCTACCCCCCTGCTCAGCTACATAAATTTTTTTTTTGTAAAACAACTTTTTTTGTGAGAAAAGTGTCATAATTGTGCTTTGACCTTTATCGTCAGATGGTGCGACAGGATGGGCATTCAAAGCGCGAGATAATGATATATGTGATATCAAAATTAATGCTTTGCATCAATTATTAAATTGACTCACAATGTCATCGTATTAATTCATAATAAAAATTGACGTCAAACAGGGTGTTGGATTTCTCCGTTTAAAAAGCGCAATGTGTATGTATATACGCCAAAATGACAATAGAGACCATGTATTTCTCAAATGGGGGGGGGGGGCAGATACATTTTCAAAGGAACCTGGCAAACCCCCTCCTGCAAAAATTTCTGGATCCGCCCCTGGAGATATATACACAACCCATGAATATTTTAAATTTTCATTGTTAACCACAGCTGGAAAGCAATTACAGTCTATCTGTTAAAAGTGGGCCGGGGCGGGAGGGTATGCATCACTAGTCTATCTAGTCTATGTATTGTGTGGCGGGAGGGGGGATATTACATATCTCAAACTACAGCCAAACCATTTCGTGTGTGGGATAGGGGCGGGGTGGTTCAGTCATTGAGTAAATGACGATGATGTGATGGAGTTCAAGTCAACGATTTTAAATTTTCCTTGAAGGGAGAGAGAGAGAGAGCAGACGAGAATCAGTTGATCAATGTCACAAATGCCCCAGCGAGAGAGAGAGGGAGAGAGAGAGAGAGAGAACTGCGGTTTAACGTCCACTCGACACAAACTAGGTCATTTCGGGACTAACATATGGTTTAATTTTATTTCCATAATTCGCTTGCGCGCAGGGGTCTTTAGCACTGGGAGAAAATCGGCGGACCCGGAGGAAACCCACGAGGTTGGACAGGCTACCCTTATCCTTGTCAACCGGGGAATCGAAACCCCGCCAGTTGACTCAATGACAGACCTTATGATACAGCATGCACGTGCTAACCATTCGGCCATCCAACCCCACCAAATGGCCCAGGGCACAATGGAGCCGGTGTATTTTGCCAATGTCCCAGTGTTGTACTTTGAAATACAAAGATTGTCCAAGGTGCCGAAACATAACTTACTTCGCGACATTCTCTGTCTATTTGTGTCCACTGTTCCATCTTTGGATACGTTTGATCTTATCTCTGCATACTTCGTGTCCCATTACAGTTATCATGGATACCATTCTCCGTCTTTCTGGGAGCTAAGTTGACTCTAGGTATGGTGTTGGCTCACTAAACCGGGGGGGGGGGGAGGGTCTTTCTCCATTAAGGTATTGTCCGAGATAGGGCCTTGTCCTTAGAAATTTCCAATAACCTGGTTGCCCTTTGTCAGTGGTGAGAGAGAGAGAGAGAGATAGTTTAATGTCCACTCGACACACATGTATGTTAACTCAGGCGCAGATCCGGGGGGGCGCACCCCTATTTTTTGCATTCACGAACAATTTTTTGGCATTTTTTTTAGGGAATGCGGCATCAATGATCCCCCCTGAGCTGGTAGGTAGGTACCGAAACTCATGTTGCTAAACGAATTAACAGTCAGTTTAGGTTGGAAATCGAAATTTACTCTGAAACAAGCCGGTTGGTATGAAATGAAATGAAATGAAATGGGGTTTAACATCCTACTGTTCTGCTTCTATACTGGGCTAATGAAGACGGGCATACGCCATACAGTGTGCTATGAGGGAAATTTTGCCCAGGCAGTGGCACTATCGCCTACTCTTATATCAAATTCCAACTGCCAGGGGATCTTTTACGTACATTCCAATATATACACGGGACCTCGGTTTTTCGTCTCATCCGAAGGACTAGACAGCTGTCCTTGTCAGGCCCTCCATTTTATGCACCACTGTCAAGGGAAAACCACGTCGGAAAATCTTGATGAACTTTCTTGGCCAATGCAGGGATCGAACACCCGACCTCCAGGCTAGCAAGCCAGCGTCTTAACCACCCAGTCACCCCTGGTTGGTAACTTGGTTGATTAACTGTCAGTCCGCCCACCGATGGCCCGGGCTTCGCACTCCCAAGTGGGGGCAGCACGACCCCTCTTTCTGAAAATCCTGCATCCGCCCCTGCGTCAAAGGTCCATAGAAAGTCGGAATCGAAAACAGAGATGACTGTAAAATACTGTAAACAAATCAATAATTATAAAAAAAGAAGCATTTATTTAAGGTTTTTTTTCATTCTATACGGGAATAATTCTATAATAATATACATGATTATCTATACTGAATAATTCTATAATATACAGGATTCAAATGTTGTATATTTACTATCATGATTGAACTATACAATTATTTCATTTATTTATTTACATCAAACTATAAACCTTATTATAGTCTATATTCATGACAAACAGGAACTTATTTTATTAACTCAAAAATTTTATGGGATATATATATTGGCTACCTTTAAAAATTTTATTATTAAGAAATACGCTCCCACAGCTGCCGTGTCTGAAAGGAAAACTTGGATTTTGATCAAATTGAATAAGGATTTAGCATAGCTTAAACATACACTAAGCAAGAGGTAAATCTGCCTATTGCAGGTTTTTCTTTAGGCCTGACATGTTATATAAACTATTAATTACACATTTATGAACAAAACAAGACCATAATCAACTCTCGATGGCATCGGATACTCTAGATTGTAACTAGATTAAAACGGTTTGCCATTTAAAAATTTAATTTAAAATCGGGAAAGCGAATATACCAGTGCCCTGGTTACCACTATGCACACATCTTGTCAACACTACAAACAGTGATAACTTGGCTGAGAATGAAGTAATTTGAATGGAATTTTCAATATTTTCTTTTTTTATCATCTAGTTTTGAATTATTATAGCAAGAATGACCAACTCTTTATTAAACTCTTAACTAATGTATCTTTAAGAACTCTAATCTGGATTGTGTTAACAATCTTTCCCGGACAAATAATTTATCTCTGTAACAGATAATATTAGATTGCTGAAAATCAACAGGGTTTATTCTGGTTGCGGAACACTCAAAAACGATCTGCCTCGTCCTCACGTGATTCCAATAATTCAATATCACGAAAACAGGAAAAGGGGGCGACAATTCTGGAAAGGTCACTGAGCACTGAAAATCAATAACAGGAGACGACATAACACAGCATATATAAAAATCTATAAATATGATTTGATGGTCATATTGGAAGAACATCCAAGTATGTAAATTACGTCATATAATGTAAATGAGTCTCAGTAAATAAAATAAATTGATATCTATAATAATTATGGCCTATGTTCCCATTAGATAATACACTGTAACCCGGGTATCATTTAATCTTGGGTATCTAGCACTAATTTCTTTCATATTCGTTTAATATCAAATCTTTGTTTAAAATTTTGTAAGAATCATTTAAAATCATCTAATTTGTCCAGTTTAAAGTTTTGATTAATTTTGATAATAAGTGTTCAATTTACAAGTATTTAATCTCCTGACCACTGTTCAAAAATTAATCATTATATATCATTAATCAATTGATTTGTTTATTTTTTAGCAGTGATTGTGAAATTAAAAACTTGTAAATTGGACACTCATTATCAAAATTGAATGATCAGCTTTAAACAGGACATCAGGTATAAATTAAATGAATTTGGTGATATTAAATTTTTCAGCAAGGATTTGATAATGAATAAATGTGAAAGAAATTAATACTAAATACACAAGATTACAGTGTATGTTCCCATTAGATAAGGTTTTAAATACTGCTAGCAGAGTTCATATCATGTTTGGCACTTCCGACGATATTACAGGTTTTTTGTTAAATTTTCGACCTAAACATATCCTAATCCTTATAAAACATATAGAAGTAGATTTCACAAATTAAAAACACTTATATGAATATACTACTTCTGAATTTATTAACATGTTACGTTTCGATACACATACAGATATCGTTATCAAGCAAATAATTCAGAAGTAGCATATACATATAAGTGTTTTTAATTAAACGTATCCTGTCGTACGATTTATAAATATACGTAAATTCAGTGGCCTTCTCAGATATGATGAGATAAAGGGAGATAATCGATGTTTCTCATCTTTAATGGAGAGAGAGAGAGAGGGAGGGAAATGGGGTTTAACATCCACTCAACACAAACCAGGTCATTTTGGGACTAACATGGTTAAATTTTATTTCAATAATTTGCTTGTGCATAGGGGTCTTTAACAGTGGGAGGAAACCGGAGGACCCAGAGCAAACCCACGAGGTTGGACAGGCGACCCATAATGTGACATACAAAATTTGATTGATTCACCTGGTAATAATCTGAAAACATTTCAACCAACCAGAGAATTAACTAAGCTTGTTATATTTAACCCATAAAAGCAACATTTTAACCAACCAGTGATTTCAACCAAGCTGTTTACGAACCATATAGCAAGTCTGATATGATATGAACGATAATGTTAAAATTGGCTAAAAGTATCTTTTTAACAACATAACCCGAAAGATAAAATTTCAGGTTTGAAAAACAAAGCAAACTAATTTTTATATTTTTAGCCCATTTCGACATTTTTGTTTATATATATTATTATCGTAAACAACGCATCGTAATTCATCAAAATAATTTTTGTGTATTTCAAAGTCAGAAATCATCTTGGTGCGATCCTAACTGCCAACTTCTCGTCAATAGGATACAATCTCTTTGATATGAACAGGAATTGTTTTATGAATGGGTTATCGTTTAAAATAAAACACAATACAGCAAGTTATATATATTTGTACAATAAGAATTTTTACAAACTGTAAATTGAGTCGATTTTGACATAAACCCGATTATTAAATTCAATATAAAAAATATTTATTTTTAACCCTTAACCGGTCAACGTCAGGACGTCAAATGGTCAGGCTAAATAAAGGCTGAAGTGAAATATTTTGTATGCCTATTTCAATCGACTACTGCCGGATAATTATAAGTGATAAGACTCTTGACACCAATAAAAATGTTGATCTATAATTTGCAAATCATTCTAAATCATTTTCATCAGAAATATCGTCTTTAGAATCGTTGTCATCGATATAATCCGAGTCGGAATCATTCATAAGCATTTCAACCACTTCGAGAGTCTTTAACCTTCCCGACATCCTTAAATTACGTTTTTTGTCAAAAAATGTTGAACAAAGACATGTTTTTCTCAATGCCCTTGACAAGACAAGTTCCTGTCTGACACGTATGCATAGCCATATCAATTAAATACGAAACTAAATACTCAAATGCGGCTTATAAAAAAGATTCTTGCTGTGGTCGACCACTTAGCTGTATAAGGTTGTGGTGATTATAGTCGACAATGACCGGTTAAGGGTTAAAGTAGGTGATGATTATTTGAGTGAGTTTGCATCAATTTTAAAATACAATATTGCGAAAGTTGAATTTCTAAACAATCTGATTAAAACACAGATCCTATTTCATTTTTTTTTTTAATAGTTCAAAATTTCGTTTTACTTGTCTTTACTACACTAAGACCTGGAAGATTTGTTATATAACCCACGTTCTGGATGATGTAAGGGATTAGCCAATGAAATGGTCTGTTATGGCGAGTTTTTGGGCGCAAGGTGCACAAAACTTTGGGTAAATCACTAGAAACGTCAACGCTGATTGGTTAATCAATGCCTGACGTCGTAAGGTCAAAAGTTGCTTGTATGACACCTGATGTGACCTTCCACTACAACTGGTCAGATCTTCATGTAGTAGAGGCCATCGAAAGTATAAAAAAACGAAACGAAAAAAAGCTCTGTATTTGAATCAGATTAATACCAACCCAGGAGATTATCTAGCGTTTGTATTTTGATTTCTTAATTAAACGTTAAATAATCAATTTGATTACATTTTAGCGTTGATAAAACCATAGACAATTGGATATTATATTCAAATAATGAACATATAACGTTAGAGGCTATTTTATGTTGAAAAAAAATATAAATACACAAACAGAGAGAGAGAGAGAAATGGGGTTTAACGTCCACTCGACACAAACTAGGTCATTTCGGGACTAACATATGGTTCAATTTTATTTCCATAATTCGCTTGCATGTAGGGGTCTTTAGCAGTGGGTGGAAACCAGAGGGCCCAGAGAAAAACCCACCAGGTTGGACAGACGACCCTACTCCTTGTCATGTACAACTGGGGAGAGAGAGAGAGAAATGGAGTTTAACGTCCACTCGACACAAACTAGGTCATTTCAGGACTAACATATGGTTCAAATTTATTTCCATAATTCGCTTGCGCGTAGGGGTCTTTAACAGTGGGAGGAAACCGGAGGGCCCGAAAAAAACAAACGAGATTGGACAGGCTACCCTACTCCTTGTCACGTACAAATGGGGAATCGAAACCACGCCAGTTGACTCAATGACAGACTTTATGGTACAGCGTGCACATGAAATACACAAACCACTCATGGAATTAATTATATAATTCATTTCAATCCAAGATGTCCAACAGAAAAAATACAGTTATAAAAACAAACTTAATGTTTATAGAAAGAGAGAGAGAGATTGGGTTTAAAGTTCCCGTTGACACACACTAGGTCATTTCGGGACTAACATATGGTTCAATTTTATTTCAATAATTCGCTTGACCGTAGGGGTCTTTCTTTAGCAGTGGGAGGAAACCGGAATACAGAGAAAGACCACTAGATTGGACAGGCAACCCTACTCCTTGTCATGTACAAGCCATGAATCAAACCTATGCCACTTAACTCAATGACAGACCTTATGTTCTAAAGTCGTTGTTGAGTAATAAATAGTAATTGTGATGTATAGAACTGTGTATGTACATGATAATGTCATATAAAAATTTCTGTATGATTTATTGACATCAAATAAAAGACTATCTAATTCTATTAACAACACTTTTTCTTTTTGCCCTTGTGTCCGCTGTCTAGTTTTATCGTCTGAGGTTGATCCGCAGCTTTTTTTTGTTGTTCCTTTTTGGATTGTAAAACTATTTTTGTTATTGCTAAAAACATCTGAAAATATATATAGAGAGAGTAAGGGTTAATTTCCACTTCGAATAAATCCTCGCTATTCTGGCGAACCTCGACGAATCTGATATATTTAAGTATTGAGAATTATGTGTTTGAAATTTGCGTTCTGTTGTTATATCTGTGGACATCAAATAAAAACATTCATTTGTGATTTAATATTTTATACATATACATCAGGACACCGAACGCCATTTACATAAATGTTATTATTTGATGGCTACAGAGATAACAACAGTACGCAAATTTCAAACACATAATTCCCAGTACTTAAATATATCAGATTCGTCGGTTCACCAGAAACACAACGATTAATGAATTGGGTTTAACGTCGATTGAATCAAACAGATTGTGTGCTGAGAGATAAATGGGGTTTAACGTCCACTCGACACAAACTAGGTCATTTTTTGGACTAACATATGGTTCAATTTTATTTCAATAATTTGCTTGTGAAAAGGATCTTTAGCAGTGGGAGGAAACCAGAGGACCCGCAGAAAACCCACGAGGTTGGACAGGCAACTCTTATCCGGGGAATCGAAACCACACCAGTTGACTCAATGATGCCATCCAATCGTCTATCCATGAATTGAGAATGAATTGGGTTTTAAGGTATGTAACAATCGAAAATGAAATGAAATAAAATGGGGTTTAACATTCTACTGTTCTGCTTCGGCTGGGCTAATGAAGGCGGGCATACGCCATACATTGTGCTATGAGGAAAATTTTCCTCCCAAAGAGAGAGAGAGAGAGAGCTCAAAGAGAGAGATAGGGGGATTTAACGTCCACTCGACACAAACTAGGTCATTTCGGGACTAACACATGGTTCAGTTCTATTTCAATAATTCGCTTGCGCATAGGGATCTTTAGCAGTGGGAGAAAAGTGCTTTGAGGAAAGTGGTGCTATGATTTACTCTTGTATCGAATTCCAACTGCCAAGGGATCTTTTATGTACACGCTAATGTGCACACGGTACCCCAGTTTTCCGCCCAATACAATGACAAGGGGACACTATGCGGGAAAATCCCAATGAACTTTCTCGGCCAATGCAGGGATTGAACAAGCGACCTCCAGGCTAGGGAGCCAGTGTCTTACCCATTTAGCCCCTGTGTACCAATCGGGCTACTGAAGCTAAAGAGATAGTGTGGTGTGCTATCAGGGTACTTTTGGCCTTATTTTGAAATACAAATGTCAACGTGTACATGTGACCTCAGCTGTCCTTGTCAGGCCCTCCATCTTGGACCACTGACAAGGGGAAAACGATGCTGGAAAATCCCTGGGAACTTCCTCTGTCAACACGAGGATCTGACCCCCGGATGTCCTGATTAGTGAACAATCATTTAAAGGAGCTAAATGGCTAATATTTGGGATCTATTAATTGACACATACGAACGTATATAAACTGATTTACAATCAATCGCTTCTCTTTTTATTGTAAATTCTAATCAGTTATGTTCGACGAAATAGGCCAGAAGTCTCAATGGTATAGCAATCTCTAGCATCTGGTTATTCCAGCCTACACCGATAGTATTTATTGCGCATGCTCTCCAGATAAAAATACGGCATCACCGTTTGACATGACATGTGGAATATGTCTAGCCTTGTTTTTTTAAATATTATAGCGAGAACGACCAGCCCTTTATTTAAATCTTACATACATGTAATGCCTTTTTAAAACAAGTAAACTAACTAATTTGAGAAATAAACTTTAAAAAAGTTACTTACTTCTTCGACATTTTTATTTTCTTTAGCACTGGTTTCAAATAACTGTATAGACATTTGATCAGCAAATCTCTGTGCATCATGAGTTAAGACAACTTTCCTATCAGGATCATCATCCTTATTACCAACTGTAATTATATCAACGTACAGATTAATGGTATGTCTGGAAATACCTGACTCAATGTCGGACACTATAGACAGATAAGTGGCATGTCTGGAAATACTTGACTCAATGTCGGACACTATATAATTAATAACGCTGTAAAATGACCAATTTAATTAAATCGGAAGCTGAATAATGATCAAATAAGGCCTCGTTGGCAATAAAAACGACGGGAAGTGTTAGAACTAGTGAGTATTGTGAGATGATAGCAGACGAAATGTCTTGAAGACGTGAAAACAAAGATGGCGGCTGAAATACCTTCTTATATACTATAATATATAGTCAAGCAGTAGTAAGAAGTTTTATTTTAATCCCTTCAAGTGCCTGTCGATAAGTGGTATGTCTGGAAATACATGACTCAATGTCAGATACTATCCAACTACGTACATGTAAGTAGATTGTACATTTTTAACTGTCCATTAAAAATATTAATAATAACAAATAAGGCTGTGTTGAATTGATTAATTGTTTCTCCTGCCACCACTCTGGCAATCATGTGCGGTAGTGCGGTAAACACAACACAAAGTGGGTTTCAAAACACAAAGTGGTCTAGCATAATATCTATAGTCTGACCATTGTGTACCATTTTTAATAGTATAAATAATCTACATGTAGTTATATTATTTGTTAGAATAAAAACACAGATAATATTTAATTGAATAAATTTAATAAATTTAATAACAACCTAAGATTTGATAACAAGTGGCTTCTTGTTTAACTTTTTAAAATATGAAATAACCATATTTTGATATAAATTTTCTGTACCGTATTCTTGTGTTACAATACAATGGAAACATTTCAGTTAGACGAAATTTGATTCGCTGGCTGAGTTTTTGACGGTTTCGACAATATCATCGAATGTGAAAGTGCTGGGAATACCCACCAGAGTCCAGTCAATATAGGTAAATTCGCGTACCGGTAATTTATTGATCTTTAAGGAAATAATAGTTGTCCGTTCCTTCATTCGTTTCTGGAGTTTAACGACCGAACGAACGGGACCACAATCATTTCCTTCAAGATCAACAAATTACCGGTACGCGAATTTACCTATGTCCCGGCATTGTTAGCCATTTTGTAAAGTGTGGAAATACAACCAGGCAGCAGCCAGATAATTTTGAATTACGTACAGGTGTCATGAAGACAGATTATTTCTGAAGACTTCTCATCCTAATTTAACATGATGACTCATCCCTCTAGGTATTTCTATATACAAGAAAATGAAATGAAATGGAGTTTACATCCTACTGTTTTGCTCCGACTGGCCTAATGAAGAGGGAAATTTTGCCAGAACAGCTATGCTAAGGCCAACACTTATGTTGAATTCCAACTGCCAGGGGATCTTTTACGTGCAAGCCAGTGTGTACACAGGACTTTGTTTTTTTCCCCATCTTAACAACTAGACAGCTGTCCTTGTGAAGCTCACCATCCTACACAACTGCCAAGGGGGAATCTATTTTCAGAAAATCCTGATGAACTTTCTCGGCCAAGACCGGGAGCGAACCTGCGACCTCCAGACTAGTGAGCCAGCGTCTTACCCACTGAGACTCCCTCTAAATACATATAGGATTTAAAGGAAAAATATTTTACCCACCTAAAATTCTGTTGACTACATCACAATTTTGATCAATTTCATGTAACCATCTTTTTACATTAGCAAAAGATTCTCCACTGGATACATCATATACTACAATAACACCATGTGTTCCTCGATAATACCTACAAAATATACATCATATACAACAATAACACCATGTGTTCCTCGATAAAACCTACAAAATATACATCATATGCAACAATAACACCATGTGTTCCTCGATAATATCTACAAAACATACATCATATACAACAATAACATCATGTGTTCCTCTGTAATACCTACAAAATATACATCATATACAAAATAACACCATGTGTTCCTCTGTAATACCTACAAAATATACATCATATGCAACAATAACACCATGTGTTCTTCGATAATATCTACAAAACATACATCATATACAACAATAACACCATGTGTTCCTCTATAATACCTACAAAATATACATCATATACAACCACTAGGGACCGGGTATCATTCAGATTTGATGAAAAAAGGAAAGAAACTGAGTTTACAATCTATAATCTAATACACATATTCAGTTAATAGATTGCCATGTAGAAAGTGTTAAATACCATCAAGATTCATCAAAAACCGCCCAGTTTGTGCTACCGTTTAGTTTGACATCGGTTGTCTAGTTTATGAAACTAAATGGTCATAAACTGGATGACCAATATCAAAACTAAACTAAATGGTCATAAACTAGATGACCGATGTCAAAACTAAATGGTGTTTCTTAAACTAAATGGTAGCACAAACAGGCGTTATTTGATGAATCTTGATGGTATTTAATACTTTCTGCATGGCAATCTATTAACTGAATATGTATATTAGATTATAGATGGTAAGCTCAGTTTCTTTCCTTTTTTCATCAAATCCGATTGATACCCGGTCCCTAGTGAACAATAACACCATTTGTTCCTCGATAAAACCTACAAAATATACATCATATACAACAATAACACCATGTGTTCCTCGATAATACCTACAAAATATACATCATATACAACAATAACACCATGTGTTCCTCGATAATACCTACAAAATATACATCATATACAACAATAACACCACATGTTCCTCAATAATACCTACAAAATATACATCATATGCAACAATAACAATCTGATTAAAACACAGATCATATTTCGTTTTTATAGTTCAAAATTTCGTTTTACTTGTCTTTACTACACTAGGATCTGGAAGAGTTGTTATCATTGACCTGTTCTGAATAGTGTGCGGTATTAGCTAATGAAACGGTCTGTTACGGCAAGCTTTAGGCCTGTTTTGCACAGAACTGTGAGTAATCCACTAGTAACATCAATGCTGATTGGTTAATCAAATGTCTGACGTCATAGAGTCAAAAGCTGCTTGTATGACCTCTGAGGTGACCTATCGCAACAACGGGTCAGATCTTCATGTAGTGTAGGCCATCGGAAGTATAAAAAAACAAAACGAAATATAGATCTGTATTTTAATGAGATAGACAACAATAACACCACGTGTTCCTCGATAATACCTACAAAACATACATTATAATACACTAAGATAGATTCCACGACCTTAATCACGGAGACATCGTGTACAGAAATGAAACAGGATTTAACTTCCAGCTTTCTTCACCAATTGGACAAATAAAGATGGGCATATGCTATACATTTTTTGTACCAACAGAGCTAATGAAGACAGGGCATACACCATATATTTTCGGTACTGACTGGGGTAATGAATATGGGCATATGCCATACATTTTGTGCACTGACTGGGCTAATGGAGATGGTCATACACCATACATTTTCTGCACTGCCTGGGCTAATGAAGATAAGGTATTGTGATAGTAAAATCAGTATGTGATTTGGTTTTATAACTTACGTGGAAGTTATCGTACGGAATCTTTCTTGTCCTGCCGTGTCCCATATTTGTAGTTTCACTTTCTCACCGCTTACATCAACAGTTCGTATTTTAAAATCAACTCCAATTGTTGTTATATATGTTCCTGAACAAGAGAGAAAAGTTACATAATTTAGTAGAAGATAGCAGGTTGATATTAGAGTAATAATTCAAGTCCAAGTTGTGCGATATCAACCACTTAAATACAAAGTAAACCTAACTGGTCAACTAATGCGTGCCAAGCAGGCCAAAATAAAACTACTCAGGCATCAACATCCAGTGTCCTATTATTAAAAACAGAACTAACGGACTTTTAATAACTTACAAATGTTTACAGCCAAACGCCACCTCTCCTACCTACCTCCTGGATCTACTTCACATAAAATCATCACAAAAGGGAAACCCGTTCGTCAAACAAAATTCAATTAGAAATTCCGAGATCAAATTATGTGAAATGTGGAGACAGAAGTTTTTCTGTTGCTGCTCCTAAACTGTGGAACAGGCTACCATCACTTATTAAGGATGCAAATCATTGTGTACATTCAAATCCTTGCTGAAAACACACAGGTTCAGTGCAGATGATGTGAAAGTGTCGCAATTCTGACAGACTAAATCAGCACCAGTGAGCAAACCTTTGGATACAAGGCGCTACAAATCCCGGAGGGTCTGACAAGGACAGCTGTCTAGTCATTTGGATGATAGAAAAACCGAGGTCCCATGTACACATTGGCATGCACGTAGAAGATCCCTTGACAGTTGGAATTCGATATAAGAGCAGGCCATAGTGCCGTGGTCCGAGCAAAATTTCCCTCATAGCACACTGTAAAGCGTATGCCCGTCTTCATTAGCCCCGTTCGGAGCAGAACAGTACGACGTTAAACCCCATTTCATTTCATACAAATCCATTATTATCACAGGACCATGTGTGTATTTATATGACAATCTTTACATCTCACCTGAGAAAGTATTATCAGCAAATCTTAATAATAAGCTTGATTTACCCACACCTGAAATAAAACAACAATTTGATTTACACAGAAATTAGGAAAATATTTTTACTGTAAAGTGATACATGTATGTTCTCACATAATTTCAATTAAAACTAAAATGAGATTTTAATGTCAATAATCCTCAAGCCTGGAAATAAGGCACCTGTCACTGACAATGTCAGGTACAGATTCAGCCTTTGTCAGGCACTAAACCTCTGGTGCCTGTCATTTTGCCCGGCACTGATTTGTCTTTTTTATTGATATTATCAATACATGTCTGGCACTAAGTTGAAAATGTCAGGTGCTATTTCATTAGTGCCTGACATTTTGTCGGGTACATCTAAAACCGTAATTTCTAGGCCTGATAGAGAGAGAGAGAGAGAAATGGGGTTTAACGTCCACTCGACACAAACTAGGTCATTTTGGGACTAACATATGGTTTAATTTTATTTCAATAATTCGCTTGCGCGCAGGGGTCTTTAGCAGTGGGAGGAAACCGGAGGACCCGGAGAAAACCCACGAGGTTGGACAGGCGACCCTACTCCTTGTCACGTACAACCGGGGATTTCTAGGCCTGATAATCCTGAGAATGGTCAGTAAATTGGAATAATAAGCATGACAAATTTAAACTATTTTCCCCCGTTCAAACATTCTGTGACTGGTACGTGTACTGGCAGGGCATAAATAATTTCAAATAAAGGGCATGTAAAATGTAACTAATACTGCACTGGAAAATGGCCGTGTGGGGAGAAGCCAGTGTGTGCACGATTTCGATATATTTTTATTGCCATTTAAAGGTAGGGGTCTTTAACAGTGGGAGGAAACCGGAGGACCCAGAGAAAACGACAAGGTTGGACAGGCGTATCACATACATGTACAACCGGGGAATTGAAACCACGCCAGTTAACTCAATGACAGATCGTGTGATACAGCGCGCACATGCTAACCATTCGGCTATCCGACCCCCTAATTAAATACAAGATATAGTTTAAGTTATTGTCCATACAATGCAGATGAGAAAACTAAGGAAAGCCTCGTCATAAATATAAATATGGTGGGACACACCACCAAAGTGCAATTTAACTCAAACAGATTGTAAATACATTAAAGGGACATTACATGTAGGTAAGATTACTAACGTTGGTACGATAATAAATTAAGTCTCGATTATCCATTTTCATGTTAAATTATCTATCACAAAATGTATGCAAATCCACTAAATATCGCAGGCTAGCGATAGGATCGACAGTTGATTATGGTCTGGATAAGTTAATCAATGCCAAATTAATAATTTATATAACATTTCAGGCCTAAAGAAAGACCTGCAATACAAATGAAATGGGGTTTAACGTTCTACTCCGACTGGGCTGTGGAGAAGACAAACATATACATGTACAGTGTGCTACATGTATGAGGGAAATTCTGCTCAGACAGCAGCACTACATAGGCCTACGCGTATATTGAATTCCAACTGTCAAGGGATCATTAACATGAATGCCAATGTGTATCCAACTGCTAAGGGATCTTTAACATGAACGCCAATGTGTATCCAAATGCTAAGGGATCATCAACATGAACTCCAATGTGTACCCGGTCCTATGCCAGGCCCTCGGGACAGTGAGCCAACGTCCTACCCACTGAGCCACTATGGCTCTGACCTGCAATAGGCAGATTTAGATCTAGCCCTTGCATAATATATTTGCATGCAATATCAATAAAACCATCTACAACCTCATTGAGGGGATCACGTGGCTAAGTGGGTAAGACGCTAGCTCGCTAGTCTGGAGGTCGGGTGTTCGATCCCTGCATTGGCCGAGAAAGTTCATCCAGATTTTCCGGCGTGGTTCTCCCTTGTCAGTGATGCAGGACGGAGGGGCTGACAAGGAAAGCTGTCTAGTCGTTCGGATGGGACGAAAAACCGAGGTCCCGTGTACACATTGGCGTGCACGTAAAAGATCCCTTGGCAGTTGGAATTCGATATAAGAGTAGGCCGTAGTGCCGCTGTCCGGGCAAAATTTCCCTCATAGCACACTGTATGGCGTATGCCCGTCTTCATTAGCCCAGGTTAGGAGCAGAACAGTAGGACGTTAAACTCCATTTCATTTCATTTCATCTACAACCTCATTGAGAGAGAGAAACTGCTTTAAAACAATCATTAAACAAGAGACAGAGAAAAATAGATCCGCTTCATAAATGGTACAATTTTATTTTAATTATTGGAGATCCTATCAGTGGGCTTAATAATTTGAGATCGAAACTACACCACCTGATTCAGTGAAAAAACCTTACACTTATAATCTAAAGAGGATGTGTATGACCCCAGGCTACAAAATTTCACGAGAACGATACCAATCGGTTACGTGCGGTTGTGCCAGCTCAAAAACACGCGATCGATTTCCTGGTTAAGCAAATTGAAATATCGGTTACATTAATAAATTTCATTAACAGATTTATTCACATTTGATCAATTGTTATACAGGATGACTTTGTGACACTGGTCTAAATTATTTGTATTATAGCACAAACCCCATTCATTCATTCTTAGCATTTCATTTCTCCATCTTACCGGTACTTTGACAGATCATGTATTTTGACACCACGTACTCGTAGACTATTGACCAGTTGCAAGCAGGTTGATCTAGAAATGCCCCTCACCCCTAATTCTTTAAATGATTAGTTATGCCATAAATATTTGAAAGCGTACCTTTGGATTTTCAAACACAAAATGAGAAATGAGTTGGACTATTTAACATGTCAGCTATATTTCCAAAGAATTTACTACACATGTTCCTTTCAGTTTTCACTATAGCCATAGCCATGCTGTAGTACCAATGACCTGTATGTATGCCGTCAACTTTGACCCCCTCCCCCCCAGACATCGCTCGAGCGATAATGTAAACGATTTTACTGTCCTGTCTATTTTTTATATTATTTCATGACATCAAACTATTCCGTTTCCTTTTTAGACTTTGTGTATAGAGTGCCGTGGTTTATAATAAATACTGTTTGTCAATCTGTCGCTACCTATGAGTGAGGCTATCTCATGCTACATGCATGGATGAATGATTGCAAGTGACAAGTGTAATATGAAGTAGCATGTAGTCTTCAGTGACCGAAAAAAATGTGGTAGCTACTATTCCTGGTTTTTGAAGGTCAGATATGATATAAAAATCCATTAGTAATTTTTGGAAACGATTCCCCTCATTATTAAAATGTAGGGATTTAGTGAAGTAGAACTTTTTTTTTCTAATGTTTTATTGTTTAAAAGGGGACACTGTGGGATTAAAGTCATAAACACTTAACCTCAAAATATAATATTAAATATAAAAGAATATAAATTAGTCAAGTTATTTCTTTAAAAAAATACATTCACTGCAAGTGGAAATGAATAATAGCACCATTTAAATCTGGATAAAACATGAAAACAGCGCAACCATTTTATGTAACTAATTGGTTACGCAATTGTCATCTGGCATAACCAAAGAAAATGGTTACCCAGAGCATAAACCCGCAATCATTTTTCTGGTTACGCCAAAATTTGAAATTTCATGGCCTGGGACCAACACCCCCCCCCCCCCCCCCCCAACCCTTCAACCTCTGTAAACACAAAAAATTTGAAAAATGTGATATGTCGAAACAGCTTATGATAGAGACTGGTCATATGAGTCCTTCGTTAAATGTCTGTTGTTGGTTGAATCATCGCTTACATAGTAAGACATGTTTGCCTACTGATCATACTTGAATAGCTATAAATGATTTATTTTTATAAATTAATATCATATGTCATATGTATTAATTAACTATTATTATTGTTTAGTAGTACGATATTTCTTTTTTATCAATAAATTCAAAAGTTTGGTTTTGTGATATTTGTTAGTGAGCTGAAGGGAGATAGCTAGAATGCTTTGACACCGACCGTCACATTTGACATACATTTCATGCAAATTTAATGTGGGAATTAACTCACTGACTTCAAAATAACTGAAGCATTATTAGGTCAGTTTTTAAAAATAAAAATGTGACCCTGAGCATGGCCTAGCATTATTCTATTGGGTAGCCTCCAGTTCTGTTTGAGCAAAATAATACCTTTCTATTTCTTATGCAAATTAAATCTGTTAATGTGTGGATTTCAAAGCCGGGTTTAGGATTATGTCATCAATAACAAGTTTAATTGTCAATGACACTAGTGTATCGCTGACAAAATGACATCACTATTATTTGACGTGTGTCAGACGAGTGACAGCCAACTTTCTCGATCGATAACGACAACAAGAAAGAGTATTTCAGCTCAAAACATGCTGGCATAATTAACACTATACCTACCACTGTCACCTATAATCAACAATTTGAATAAATGGTCATATTCCCGTGCCATTTTCACCGTATTCTTCTAGGAACTCTGTTTGCAATTCATAGGGAGGGAATTGGCGGAAGTAATATCATTGACCGATTGCGCATGAGTAAGTCTCAAATACGCATGCGTAATTAATTTGATGTAAACTTCCGGCACATGATTTTGCAAGGACATTAGAATGCATCGTCTGCTATATTTCTAAAATTTGTTAAATTTGAGTCCTTTTTATCCCATTTTAAGATAATGTCAGTCTGCTGTGATGTTTCGAAGACATATGTGTTCAAATTTGCTGTGCTTAAAACGACATTTTTCTTCGGCAACTGAGTAAGTTTCAGTTTATAAATTATCCACAGAAACGAGATCTTCGATCAGTTCTAACTAAACTGTTCTTGACTTTTAGTTCTATCCCGTATCCGGAATTTTGAGAAAATTCGTGACATTGATTTCCGTTTTGTGTTCACTCCTTAGAATGTCAGTGAAATGATGAATCATTGTAAGCAGTACAAAGATCATTAACAAATCTTGAAAGCTTGTTATGTTCATAACAAATTAATTTTAAGACTGCTGACCCCCATAATTATGGTGCATTTTGTACGAATTACAGGATCTGTGCCTGCTGAATTGTTTATTTAACATTTAATTAAGAAAACAATATCAAAATGACTTCCACCTTTATTCAGTCGTATATTAAAAAAAATGGCCATCTAAAAATATTAGCGAATAATAGGCCTATAGGCTACTCCTATAATAGGTGACGCTGGCATGTTGTGATGATCATGTGCTGTTTATATTAATTCGGAGAAAGATAATATGAATGTTGACCAATTTCCAATCCTTATCTTTGTTAACCCGTTAAACGTGACGTTTTTAAAACGTTAGCTACCCCCTATTGTGTAATTTGCAAAGTGACGAAGAACTATATATGTACTATGTTCTTAGAATAGGTTGGGGAAAATACCTCCAAGACCCAAGGCGTTATATTACGCCCTACACACAGTGAGTGGCAGTTGTCCAGGACGTAATATAATGTCTTACACATGCTGCGATCGTGGGGGAATTCCCAAGGGATTCCCCCAAGTGATGAACTACGTTCTAAGAAAGCTTGTTATGTTCATAACAAATTAATTTTAAGACTGCTGACCCCCATAATTATGGTGCATTTTGTACGAATTACAGGATCTGTGCCTGCTGAATTGTTTATTTAACATTTAATTAAGAAAACAATATCAAAATGACTTCCACCTTTATTCAGTCGTATTAAAAAAAATGGCCATCTAAAAATATTAGCGAATAATAGGCCTATAGGCTACTCCTATAATAGGTGACGCTGGCATGTTGTGATGATCATGTGCTGTTTATATTAATTCGGAGAAAGATAATATGAATGTTGACCAATTTCCAATCCTTATCTTTGTTAACCCGTTAAACGTGACGTTTTTAAAACGTTAACTACCCCCTATTGTGTAATTTGCAAAGTGACGAAGAACTATATATGTACTATGTTCTTAGAATAGGTTGGGGAAAATACCTCCAAGACCCAAGGCGTTATATTACGCCCTACACACAGTGAGTGGCAGTTGTCCAGGATGTTATATAACGACCTACGCACTTAACAAGTTAATACTGTATTGTTTATTGTTTATAAGGCATTTAGTGATAGGACTAACATTGAATACTGAACGGGATTTAACAATGGTTAAACATACATTATGCAAGAGGTAAATCTGCCTATTGCAGATCTTTCTTTAGGCCTGAAATATTATCTAAATTATTAATTACACATTTATTAACAAAACAATTTTGACCATAATAATCAACTCTCGATGTCATCGGATACTTGCGATTTTAACTAGATTAGAACGGTTCGCCATTTAAAAATCAATTTAGAAATGGGAAAGCGAGTCTTAAGTTGCGAATATACCAGTAAGCTAGTTACCACTATGCACACATCTTGTCAAAACAATAAACAGTGATAATTTGTCTCAGAATGAAGTAATTTGGCTGAAATTTTCAATATTTTTCTTTTTTATCATCTATTTTTGAATTAATATAGCAAGAATGACCAACTCTTTATTAAACTCTTAACTAATATATCCTTAAGATACCGGTAATGTAGTTCAAAAAGGATTCAAAATTCCTTGAAAGAAGATCAGATTCTATTGGCACTTTTATTTATTTTACATGTACTGCCATCATTATATGTCTCAGACACAAAAAGTAAAAATAATTCTGCTAACGTTTTTTGTACAAGCCAGTTCATTCTTCATGATGATTATGTTTAATGAAGGTGTGACAGCATGCTTCAGTGTTCAGTCTGGAATTAAACCTGCGATCTGAGGCATGGAATCCATACACCTCGGTCAAGTGAGCCAAAGGGAATACCCCACGACAAGAGTCAATTTAATCTCAAGATACGGGTACCACAAGACTGAACAATCTAGGTGTCCCAAGATATATATGAAAACTCAGACTTGACTATACAGTTATAATACACCACATATTTACATTCCTGAAGAATTTTAATACAAATGTATTTGAAGAGTCCATAGGGAAAGAACGATCTAATTTAAGTCACATTTTTGTCTTCTCACATAAAAGGCAAAACAGACTTTTGGACGAGAATGTTTGACGCGATCAGAACAACGAGTGGGTTTAATTACAACTTCAAAATGATGTTTAATACGAACCATCATTACCAGTACAAGGACATCAATTTTTCAGGCAAATTAAGGTTAAAGAAAGGGTCTGATGGACTTGTATTTGTCCGGGAGGCCATTTCAGAAGGGCCTTGGTTCGAGCATTTTTACCTGAAATAGATTGTTCCACAGAACAATTTGCTACCAGGTGGCGCCATAAACTGGGGTTCGTTCAAAAAGTGACTTAATAGATCGTTCATCCCCGGGACTCTTCATTTGTTACATGTAACTAGAACAAAGACCACAACATTGAGCACTTGCTGTAAACTCTATATTTAGCAATTATTTTTGGACATTAGATATGTTTTGTTTATGTGTATTATTATTTGTATTTTAAGTGTTGTCAAGTTGTCTTACACAGAATATGGTAAAGGAAATTCCAGTAAAAAACCTCTGATAGTGCTTCATGGTCTGTTTGGAAGTAAATCCAACTGGCATTCATTGGCCAAGAAATTGGCTTTGGATGGTCGAAAAGTAATTTATATTTTACTTTACAATTTCCCTTATCAAAGATAAAATGTTCTCTGTTACAGAAAGACCTATGTAAAGCAGTAATATCATAATATGTAGTCCTTTTTGTAATTCTTGTAAAGGGACGTTTAATTATGGTTCAGATATCATAGTGTTCACCCAAACCAATGTTAGATATTAATTTGTCTGCAATTAAATGGCGAAAAAAAAAATGACAGAAAATAATGAAGAATTTACTTAAGCCTCAATATGTACATGTATGGTAAATGGACAGTAAGTAATGAAAATACATTTTGAAAGTTCCCCCCCCCCCCCAAAAGAAATTTGGGGACAAACGTGGCTTCTAACAACAGTTTATTTATAGCTTGAGGTATCCCTCTGTGAATACAATGTTTTGAGAGGGATTAGAAGCAACTTTTTGACAGATTAATTAGTTTGGATATGTTTTTAGTCCAAATATATCATCAAATCACATAGTTTGTATGTGGGAAAGTATCTTTAAACCCCATTTCATTTCATTGCATTTACTTTTGAAATTTGGATCATCAATTTCAGATGCATATTGAAGAGTTATATTTCCTTTGACATTTTTGCTTTTAAATCTTAGTACAGAATTTGTAATAGATTTTTTAAATTTCTCGGATGAGATTTGTTGACAATAATTTTTGACTTTGGACGGTCAACTTTGTTGTTGGTGAACGTATGGGGCCCAAGAAAATCTCTTCTTTTGTTTATTTGTCCTAGAAAATAAACAGAATGGAATGGAATTTTACATCAATTAATCAATGAATGTAATGGAAGATATGATGACAAGGACCTTTGGTACTAAGAAAGTCAGCTTTTTAAAACATATATTTTACTGACAGTTTTTCGTATTAAAATGTTTATTGTATTTGAGGTGATCGCAGTGGATTCTAGAAACCATGGAGAAAGTGAACATAGTTCTGTCATGAATTATGATGTCATGGCAACAGACATGGAAACATTATTAGATAATTTAAACTTATCTAAAGTGGTGCTACTTGGTCACAGTATGGGAGGAAAGGTTGTCATGACTACAGCTTTAAAACATGTAGGTTTGCCATCAGATTTTTACTTTTGTTTTGAAAAAAAGAATCAACATTCTCACTTACACTAGTTAGGTCATTTTGGAACTAACAGTGAAAGTTAGATCAACCAGGCCCCTCTACTCCTTGTCACATACAGGGGGGTTGGATGGCCAAATGGTTAGCACGTGCGGGTTGTATTATAAGGCCTTGTCATTCAGTACATGACAAGGAGTTGGGTCACCTGTCCAACCTCGTGGGTTTTCTCCGGGTCCTCCAGTTTCCTCCCACTGCTAAAGACCCCTACGCGCAAGCAAATTATTGAAATAAAATTAAAACCATATGTTAGTCCCGAAATGAACTAGTTTGTGTCAAGTGGACGTTAAAACCCATTTCTCTCTCTCTTTTGTCACATACAGAGGTTTTTAGCAGGATAAAAAAACGGTCGAAAACCCACAAGGTTGACTCAATGATAGACCTTAATATTTAATTTTAGGGTGTTGGTTGACTGAATGGTGGTCTGTTATTGAATCAAGTGGCGCGGTTTCAATCCCACACTTGTACGTGATGAGGATTTAAGACGTGCAAGCGAATCATTGAAATAAAAATGAACTATATTCCAGTCTCGAAGTGACCTATAGTGTGTACTTTAAAAGACGTTGGGTCTCAAATCCAACCTTGTGGCTTCTGTGCTGATTTCTTTCCACAGCTATAGTGTACAGTCGTCTGTCCAACCTCTTGGGTTTTCTCCAGGTACTCCAGTTGCCTCCCACTGCTTAAGAGCCCTATATGTTAGTCCAAAATATCAAATCAGCATTTTGATAACGATCGCAAATTAACCCTTGGTATCGCCATTTTGTGACCAAGTGACGTTTGGATCAATTATGTTACATAAACGGTCTGTTTTGAAACAAATAATGTTGGTCATTTGCATCAAGCATTCTTCGTTTACATGAAATTTAAAAAGGGCATAAAACACTGGTTTTGGTAGACATCAAAAATTTTTAGTCGGTGTGGGATGGGTTTAAACCACAAACTTTAGACCTCTCCCCATCTCGGGAAATTAGTCAAATACACTTTTTTGCATTTTTAAAATCTTCCAATTAATATGCACATTTCTGTCTAATTTGTGTATCTCTATGCCAATTAAAGCTGTTCTGGGTATCATGTGTCCAAATGTTGTATCTTGATTTGTGGAAATCTTGAAATGCAAAAGTTTCTATTTCTTAATCTTTCAAAATTCTTAGATACACCCTTTTGACACTTCACCGACGACATGCTGTTTGGGAGATGCTAATTTTACTTTTTTCAATTTTTAACAGCCAGAGAGAGTTGAGGGTTTAATTGTGGTTGATGTTTCACCAACATTAAGTTCAAGTATGGGATTAGAAAATTATGCCAAGAAAATGCGTGATATAAGAATTAATCAAGGATCAACATTATCTGAAGCTAGAAAAGATGTCGACTGTCAACTAAAGTCCGTGGTTCAGGTAAGACAATTACAATGATATTTCAGGCCTAAAGAAAGACCTGCAATAGGCCGATTTTGCTCTTGCATAATGTATGTTTAATGAAGTTGATTCTTTTAAACTTCCTTTTTTATTTTTGAACTCTACTTGGTGTAGGTGTTCATCAGGTAATACCTCGAATCACGTGTAATGAAGCGCTATATAAATCGATCAATAATAATAATAATCTTTGAGTGGCATTTAGCGATTGGTAAACACATTAACAGAACACAGTTTTTATGGGATACAATCACTAGTTTTATTCTAAACGCACGACGTTTCGATAAGTATATCCTCTTATCGTTATCGAGCATATGTGGCATCAAATTAACCAGCATGGCTCAGTAAATGTTTTAGGCCATGATTTATGAAGATCAAGATCATTTATAAGTTTAAAGTCTCAATACCACTCTTGTTGT